CTTTGCACATCCTCTTCCACGAAAGCCTCATTTGCCACGTCCTTTGCCAACAAACACATCTTTCTAGTTTCTCCCTTTTCACTTGAAATGCTTTTTCATTAGTCTTTTCATGTGATCTGTTAAGCCTTACCTCATGAGCTTGTAAAGAACCCATTAGTTCATCAAAGGAAAAAATAGACAAATCCGTAGACTCTTTTATTGCAACAACTATATGATCAAACTTTGGAGTTAGGCTTCATAAAACTTTGAAAATAATAGTCTCGTCAGTAATTTTATCACCATAAGATCTTAGTTGAGTAACAATAGAAATTACTCTAGAAAAAAAATCTTGCACTATTTCCTTAGTTGTCATCATCAAAGTTTCAAACTCATGTCAAAGAGCTTTGAGTTTCACAGCAATAACTTTTGAAAAACCTTGAAACTCTTTTTATAAGGTTTTTCAAACTTCTTTTGAAGTGTTGACTGCTACAATCCTGGAGAAAAGTGTCTCATGAACTGCTTACTAAATGATAAATAAAGCTTTGGAATCTTTCTTCTTATTATCTTTCAGCCATCCTTTATCGTTATCATTCTCATCGTTTTTGATTTTTATAAAATCCCAAAGATCTTGTTATTTGAAAAGTGTTTTCATCTTAATACTTTAGAAGTCGTAACGTTTTTCATCAAACACTGGAATGAGAGGTTACGCTACATTTGAACTGCCATTCACTGCCATCGTTGATAATTCAACGGATACAAATAATGGGTAAAGATCTTAAGGCTCTGATACCAAAATTTGTTGGAAAAGGAGATAAGTTTTTTTAAATTAAATTACCGACACAAAAGAAATAACTAATTTTGGATAATTGTAAATAAATTACTTTACATTTCTATTAAATTCAATCAGCCTTTTAATAGAATAAAAAACTTAAACAGTTAACAGATAATGAAAAAGTAGAGAAAGTGGCTGAATATTAGAAATCACCCAATCACATATAACAACTACTACCAACTGTATCCTAAAAACTAGGACATTGAGCCCAAACATGAACTCAATTTTGGATCACTCTTCAACATAATTTGCATGCTTGTGATAAAATATTCAGCCCACCAATCTTGAATAATTACAAGTAATGTTGCTATATGTTATTGCCCTTTAATTTACCATGTGTTTGGTTAAAAGAAATTAAAAAAAAAAAAGGTGTAATACTAGATCAATCCATGGAGATAAAAGCACATGAAGACATAAGGCTCAAACAAGCAAAGATAATGCTAATATTGCAGCGAGTCTCACATTTTTTCTGATTTTATATATAGTTAGCTTAATAGCAAGTTAAATTACAAAAGAGATTATGAACGGATGTTGATTTAAATGATAAGATAATTTGTTTTTTTCTTGATTGTTTAAATTTGAATTTGTTGAAAATTTATGAAAAATAATTTATTGTGAATTTACTAATCCCAGCATATATCAACCTACTAAATCGGTATTTATTACGATATATTGGTAGAATATATGGATGAAACTTTTGAGTGTATTTTGTTTGAAGTATCGTGTGACAAATTTTGTTCATATTTTAGCATAGTATTGACAGATTGATGGATTTGAAACAAATTGAAAATGTCACAAATGAAAATATTGAGCTTTTTTATGCTACAAATAAAAATAAAACATTAAGAAAATATTAAATTGATGACTAATATGCAATTTACTCATGGTAAATTAGTAAAGTTATTTGAGAAGGAAATAAAAAAAAATGTATAAATTGAGAACTAGGAAAATATGTGTGAAAATTGATTAAATATGAATGAATTTGAAGTAAATTCAAAATATTAAAAACTAAAAAAAATTAAATACTAATGATGCAATTTACTCCCATTACTTGAAAATAAAATGTTCAAGCTTGAATAAAATACTTATTCTCTCAATTTGTTTTTTTTTTTCCCTTTTTTTATATAAACAAAAACAAACTCATCTGATCTCATTTTTTTTCATTATAATTATATTATAAGTTATTTTTGCAATTAAAACTTTATTGAATTAATTGAAGAAAGTTAAAAAAAAAATCAAAGAAAACATGTTGAAAAATCATGTAAAGTGAGTTTAGATAAGGAAAATTCATACAAAAAGAGTTTCCACAACAACTTTTAGAGAAAACCAAACATTGACTTTTAAAGTCAAATTTATTAATATTATAAATAAAAAAATTCTAAACCTAAAAATAAGTGCTAACGTAAAAAAGGTGAGAATGATCGTAAAATTAATATAATTTAATGTAAAAATGTGTTAAAACTATCGTAATATAAAAATGTGAGAATAACCGTAAAATTAGTATTATTTGGTGTAAAATAAGTTAAAACAATTGTAACATCCTAAAGAAAAGTTGTAATAATTCTAAACATAATGAAATATAAGAGCAAACATAAAAAAAAAAAATTATTTTAATGTAAGTAATTAAGTTGACAATATAAAAGAATTATCATTATAAATAAAAAAATAATTCAATCAAAAAATAAGTGTTTATATAAAAATGTAGAATAATCGTAAAATTTATATCATTTGGCATAAAGTATATTAGAAGTATTGTAATACCTTTAAAAAAAATTTTGATAATTTTAAACATAATAAAAGATAAGAACAAGTATAAAAACATATTATTATAATGTAAGTAATTAAATTGGTAAACAAAAAATTATTATTATAAATAAAAGTAATTCCAAACTAAAAAATAAGTGTTAACATAAAAACTTTAAAAAAAATGAAAATAATTATAAAATTGATATCATATGATATCATAATACCTTAAGAAAGAGTTGTGATAATTTTAAACAAAACAAAAAGTAAGGACAAGCGTAACAAAACATTAAAGTAAATAATTAACTTGACAATATAAACGAATTGATATTTTTAAATTAAAAGATTCTAAATAAAAAAATTGTTAATGTAAAAAGATAAAAATAATCGTAAAATTTATATCATTAGATGTAAAATGAGTTTGAAATGTCTTATCCTTGAAAAAAACTTTAATAATTATAAATGTATTGATAAAAAAGTATAAAAATATATTATTAGACGTAATTAATAAAGTTGATTTCGTAAAATAAATTGAAATTATAAAATTAAAAAATATATGATTTTTTATTTGTTAAATTAATATATTAAATAAAATTATGTATACTTTTTTTAATATTTATCTGTTAACATGTTTTTTTAAAAATTATATTATTTTTATAATTTATCATGATATATCATGAGATATCATTATACCTCATAACCTTAAACTAAGGTCCATATATTGCGACTTTATTGTAGACAAATCCAAAAAATTCATGTAAAGTGAGTTTTCACAGCAACTTTGAGAGAAAAGCAAACATTGACTTTGCAAGTCAAATTTCTTGATTAAAAAACTTGTCACATTTCTCTTCCAAGAATTTGCTTATCTCTGTGAAAAAAAAAAATTAACAAAGACTTTGTTACGTCTAAGTTGGGGGAAGCCGACATGTATGAAAAATTAATTGTAAATGCGTTGAACAATTTTAAGAGCTTTAATTACCTAAGGATATTGCAATGGAAAAAGAGAAAAAAAATGACAACCAGACTCGTCTGCTCCTTGCGATGTTGCTGGTTGAATAAGCCGAAGTAGCAGGCTGAAGTAAAACACCAAGTAAACGTCCATTTTCTGTTAATTTCACCCACCTTTGATTGTTAATTTCTTTCTATCAGGAAAATCAATGAAAATCTAGTTGGGTGCATGTGTTACGGACCTAAGGGGGAGTTCTGAATCTTACATCGAACATAATAAGAGAGTCACTGGGGTATAAAAGGGTTCACACCACCTCTCCCTTGTGAGCGGTCTTTTGTAGGACAAAACCGTAAGGTTATGGGGGCCAGAGCGAATAATACCTCATAAGGATGTGAACCGTGGCAGGAAGGCTGATCTGGGATGCCAGAAGGGTGAATGCCCGGGTCCCAGAGCTGCACGGGTTCGGAGCTTGAGTCTCGACTCGTAACAATTGATATCAAAGCCAGCCCTAAAACGTTCGATCCATGCTAAGCACCTCAAGGGAGATAGGCAAGGTGGTCAGCTTCCGTGATAAGGGCGCCACGAGGTTAGGTGCGGGAGAATGTTACGGACCTAAGGGGGAGTCCTGAATCCCACATCGAACATAATAGGAGGGTCACTGGGGTATAAAAGGGTTCACACTATCTCTCCCTTGTGATGCGTCTTTTGTAGGATAAAACCGTAAAGTTGTAGGATAAAACCGTAAGGTCATGGGGGTCAGAGCGGACAATACCTCACAAGAGTGTGAACCGTGACAGGAAAGCTGATCTGAAATATTGAAAGGGTGAATGTTCAGATCCCGAAGCTACACGGATTCGAAGCTTGAGTCTCGACCCGTGACACATGTACTAGGCCGGGCGCAAACTCAAAAATTTCAAAGAAATTTCTTAGCTCTGGCGCCCCAGTTTCCTATACTTGAACCCCAACAAAGCACTAACCATGTTTAGGGGAAAAAAAAACATCTCTATCAATCATAAAACCTTTCACATTGATGCATTGATGTTTTGGTAAAATTCTGAATTATAATACGAATATAGATATTAAAATTTTAAGACAACTGAATTTCATTTATTTATATAATTATTTTTAAAAGATAATATTTAATAAATTTAAATTTAAAATTTTGCAACTATAACTTCTCTTACTTTCGTATTTTTATGAGTAAGGCTGCTTTTAGATTTAATCGGGGTGCCATTGCAATGAAGATTGTGCCAATTACGTTGTACAGTGTGAATTTTTATTTGGTTTTAATCAGGCGGTGTCATTGATGTCGAGTTTTCGCTTGTCATTATTGGTCCAATATTTTATTAGAGATTTATTTGTTTTTTTTTTCTCCTTAATTCTTATTATAAATGCAAAAAAATTTATTTTTTATTTAAAAAATCTTCGAAAAATTCAGAGCCAGCTGACCCAGTACTTGTACCTTTCAAGCCTGACTGTATTGCATGATGTGGGAAAGTTAATATTACATACCCATTTCGAATTAAAGTCGGATGTTACATGAATGAGTGGTTCAGAGTAAACTGCAAAGAAACCGGTGATGGTCAAATGCAGAAAACTGGAGCGCAAAAACCAAGAACTTTCTTGGAGCCTCTGAATATACGCCGGCCTTTATCTAATTGACTTAAGCTGCCACCAAAATCTTCATCAATTTCCCTCATAGAAAGAAATTAACAATCGAGGGTGGGAGAAATTAAGAGAAAATGGGCATTTACTTCATCCTGCTACTATGGCTTATTCAAGCAGCAACATCGCAAGAAACAAACGAGTTTGTTTGTAATGAAACATGTGGGGATGTTGTTATTCCATCCCCATTTGGAATAACAACTGGTTGCTATAAAAATTCGTGGTTTAGAGTAACTTGCAACAAAACCGCTAATGGGCTAAAGCCTTTCATCAGTCGCATCAATCTGGAGCTTCTCGATTCCTTTTGGTCAGATGGCGCTGTCGCCGTCAACAATCCGGTAACTTATCTCAATTGCGGCAATAAAGGAACCAATGGCACCACTCGTCGTGCTATTGTCAACCTAGAAGGCAGTCCATTTTTCTTCTCAAGTAGATTCAACATATTCGGGTCAGTAGGTTGCGGGAATTTGGCCATTGTTTCTCGCGAAATTCAAACTGATCCCCTCGCTAGCTGCGTACAACAACGATGTGACCACCTAGCTTCTAAATTTGGTGGCTGCTATGCCGTAATTTCTGAAAATCTCACTTCCTACACTGCAACCATGACAGAGATCATTAATCCTGGGAAGCAAGAATACAGCAAGAGATGCGCATCTGCTTTCATATTTGACTTAAGCAAGTTAAACTCATCGGGTCCAGATCTCCAATTCCCCGACAGCATAAGCATTGATACGACGCATGTTCCTGCAACGCTGGAATGGAACTCCGTCAATTGCGATTTGGGAGGTTGGCATTAATCGTGATCACTTTATTATTGCTTTCTTATTTTATTAAATTAATATTAGAAATAATTAGATAATATTTTTTGGGGCAAACCCTATATGCATCATAGGTGATTTGCTACTTTTCTATTCACAGTGTTTGTGGAATTTTTTTACTTTTACATTACAATTTTTGGGTTTGTTTTATTATAAAAAAAATAAAAATGTCAAAAATAAAAATAAGGATAATTTTAAATTTTCATTAAAATTTAATTAATTTTTTATCGTTATGTCCTTTTTAACAACGAAAGTAAATTTCAAAATTATAAATAAAAAATATAAATTGGAAAGTGGCGCATCACAGAAAATGTGAGACAAACTACATGAGATACATACATGTAGGTTTTACCCAATTTTTTTCATCGTATCAGCTTTAGCATTGTGAAAAAAAAAATACCAGCTTTAACAGAGACAAACCACACCCACTTCTGTCTCCTGTAAATCCATTAGCATTTTTTCTTCTCTTTCTTTTTAAATTCTTCTCGATATTTTTCAATAAATTTTTAAATTTTAAGCACAATATAAATTATTTATGAATAAGGCTGCTTTTAGATTTAATCGGGTGCCATTGCAGTGGAAGATTGTGCTAATTACGTTGTACAGTGTGAAAATTTGCATTTGGTTTTAATTGGACGGTGCCATTGATGTCGATTTTTTACTAGTCGTTGTTAATCTAATGTTTCATCGGAGATTCATTTGGTTTTTTTTTTTTTAATAATTATTATAAATACAAAAATACCTAACAATTTTTTTTTACTTTGTTAATTTTTCTTTTATTTTTTTATTTAAAAAATTTGAAACTAAAAATATTATTTGATATATTATTTTTTTATTTTTAATTATTTACTAAAAATTTATTATTTGTCATAAAAATAATTAATAAATTTTAAATAATTTATTAATTTATAAATATTAAATAATTTAAATTTTTTATTACATATAATTTTTAATCTAATACTATTAATGATTATTTTATTTTTCATTATAATATTATTTTCACTAATAATTTTGCATTCAAATACATATCCGTTAATTTTAATATTATATTACATGTATTAATTTCATCACTATCAATATTTTAGTTTTATCAAAATTAATTTTATCATCATTATTATTATTATTAATTGATGCTTCTGTTCTTGCTAAGCAGCGGCACTTTGCCAACAACCAGAACAAGTTGGCCCAGTACCTGTACCTCCCAAGCATGTCTGTACTGAAAGATGTGGGAAGGTTAACATTACATACCCATTTGGAATTAAAGTCGGGTGTTACATGAATGAGTGGTTCAGAATAAGTTGCAAAGAAACCGATGATGGGCCAAAGCCTTTCATACGTAGCATCAACATGCAACTACTCAGTGTTTCATTTTCCCTAGGCAGAGTTATCGTTAACAATTCAGTAACTTATTTCAATTGCCGCAATAAAAGTGAAGATAATAATGGGGTCAGTGTCAACTTAACAGGCAGCCCCTTTTTCTTCTCAGATATCTTCAACAGATTCGTGTCTGTAGGTTGCGGTAGTGTGGCTACTATTCTTCGTAATCTAACTGATTATCCTGTTGCTGGCTGCCTGCAACCTCATTGTAGCAATATTGTGACCTCCAATGGTAGCTGCCTTGCGAAAATTCCTCCGGGTCTCAGTTCCTTTGCTGTAAACATGACAGAGATTTATCCGAGTAATGGCAGCAAGAAATCATGTGGATCTGCTTTCGTGGTGGACGTAAGTTTGTTGGACAACGTTCCCGGGACACCGGAATTTGGACTCATTCCTACAACACTGCACTGGGACTGGGGTTCACCAAAAGATGGACACGTTCCTACAGCACTGCAATGGGGCAGGCCAATAGCTGGGCAGTGTGAGCTGAAAGATGGTTTAGAGACCTTTTGTAGCTCCAGTGGTCAATATTGTTGGGCAAGATTGAGCGTCAGCCATCTATGTGTTTGCAGCGCGGATGTGAATTCTGACAACGATTATCATGATAGTGATGTATGCCAAGGTATCGTACTAATAGAATATATATATATATATATAAGGTATCTGAATTTGAACCCGATAAATTGTTGACCATAAGAATATTTTGTGTGGGCTCGTATGTTTGAAAATTTGCACAATATAAAAAGGAAAATGAAACTTTTATTTGTTTTGGCATTTCTTAATTAACATACTTTTATATGAACATAACTTTATTTATTCGTTTCATAAATGGCAGAAATAGGCAAATGTGGGCTTCTTAAATATAGGTACTGCGATATGCTTTGTTTAAATGCTCCGGACGATTACTGCTCGTCGCCGTGCCCTTATTCATATCAATACTCAAGTGCGGACGATTCGTGCAATCGCGTAGATTCAACTCCTAGTTCACCAAAAAATTTTAATGGTTTACCAGCGTTCTCGATGGAGGAACCTACAAAGTCTCGGAATTTGCCGATCATTATAGGTATGCATTTATTTTTTTTTTTAAGTTAATGTTACGAATATTTTTTGAATTATAATAAAATATTTAATATGATATTTAAAATAATTTTAATGTGATACTTAAATTATTAATTTATTAATTAATATGATATTTGAAGAATTATTTATCGTCACATATTATCATTTATAATTAATTATACTAGAAGTGAATATCACGTTAATTAACAAATTCATAATTTATATATCAAAATAAATATTTTATTATTACATTGAATAGTTTACTATAGTATAAAAATAATTATTAACATTTTTTTAATTTTTCTTTAACGGGGAAGTACTACTTGTTCATTGAACAAAAGATCTATACTAAAATTGCAGTACCCACTCTTACCACTGAGTTAAAGCTAAGTGCTGATAAATTCACTTTCTTAAAGACAGAAACTATGAACCATGTTGAAATGCGTGTACGGTTTTTCTTAATATATACTAATTTGCAAATTTATCTTGTGCATTAATAAATTATGTTTCCTATACAGGTTGCAGCACTAGTATTGGGACAGTATTTGTGCTACTTGGTACATGGTATCTGTACAAAGTACTAAAAAGGAGAAAAACCATCAAGATGAAGCAAAAATATTTTAGAAGGAATGGAGGTTTACTACTGCAACAACAATTGTCCAGCAATGAAGGTAATGTTGAAAAAATAAGGTTGTTTACATCAAAGGAGTTGGAAAAGGCGACAGATTACTACAGCGAGAATCGAATCCTCGGTCAAGGCGGCCAAGGAACTGTTTATAAGGGAAATGTAACGGATGGAAGCATTGTGGCAATCAAGAAGTCTAAAATGGTGGAAGAGAAGAAAGTTGATGAAAAGCAGCTTGAACAGTTCATCAATGAGGTGATACTTTTATCACAGATTAACCATAGAAATGTGGTTAAGCTTTTAGGATGTTGCCTGGAGACAAAGGTTCCTTTACTAGTGTATGAGTTCATCCCCAATGGAACACTCTCTCAACTCATACATGACCAAAATGAAGAATTCCCATTGACATGGGAAATGCGTTTACGAATTGCAATTGAAATCGCCGATGCTTTATCCTATTTGCATTCAGCTGCTTCTGTCCCTATTTATCATCGAGACATCAAATCTGGCAACATACTGTTGGATGGTAAATACAGAGCAAAAGTGTCAGATTTTGGAATTTCAAGATCAATTGCACTCGAGCAAACTCATCTAACCACTCAAGTGCAAGGAACATTCGGATACTTGGATCCAGAGTATTTTCGGTCGAATCAATTTACAGAGAAGAGTGATGTTTATAGTTTTGGGGTTGTTCTTGTTGAACTTCTGACCGGACAAAAACCCATCTCCTCGATACAATCAGAGGAAGTGAGAAGCTTGGTAAACTTTTTTCTGCTTACAATGAAGGAGAATTCCCTATTTGACATTCTTGATCCAATGGTAAGGAATAATGGTACAGAAGAAGAGATTATAGCAGTTGCAAAGCTAGCGAAAAGAAGCTTGAATCTTAATGGAAAGAAAAGGCCCACGATGAAACAAATTGCAAAGGAGCTGGAGAGGATTAGAGCATCAGAAGAAGCTAATGCTATTGAACAAAGTGTGGATGAATATTCTGATACAGATGACATGATCGAACCTTCCGCTATTACTTCTTGTTCAACGTCTAGGTCAATCATAAACGATAGTGTAACTCTGCCAATGGATACATACTCCTAGTTGGTTTCCAACAGTACTTGTTAAACTTTCTTCCTTTGGTGTCTTTTCTTTGTAATATATTTGCCTGTGTGGTTTAGCTCATCCTTGTTTTAATTTCAAACTCTTTCTTACTTCATTTTTTCTTCCTCTCTTTACTTTCTGCTCACCCCTTATGGAAGGTTTCAAATGCATGTCTAAGACCATCTCCTTTTCGAATGTCATGATTGATTAGAATAATCTTTTGACGATGATTAAACATAAATATGAAAAAAAAAAAAAAAATTTAGCATTGTTGACTTCCACCTGTTGATCTTGGTATACCTACATGTGAAGACGAAGTTCATATTATTTCGTACATGTAAAAGAAGATACCATGCAACTTCTTTTTTACTTATTTCTTTCCATTGATTTTTAAGTAGAAGAGGTGCCCGAGTGACCATAATTGTTGAGATCTAACATATGCCATCACTGCCATCATTTTGAAATTCAGAAAATGAACGAGAAAAACGAGGCTGCCAAGGGTTCATAAAGGAATTATCAAAAAGGAAAAAGAAGACTTTAGAATGAATACCTAATGGACAAGACTCTTTATCATAGAACAACTAAACATGGTAACTTCGGACCTAATATAAAAATTGTATGGTTTAAAATTTTGATAAAAATCATGAGTTTGACAAAATAAAATATTATAATTTATGTTTTCGTATCGACACGAATTATAACATAATAATTTTTGTATTTTATACATGTTTTATATGAAACAAACATTATACGAATACGAATTATCCCATCTATGAAGCATGAACCCCAAACATTCTTATTTTATATGCAGTTGTTTATCACCGGTAACAATATATTCATTCCTTTCAGCAAGAAAATTGACTACTAAATTCCTCTTTCTTCTCCAAAATATCACAACCTAATCCGATATAGCTGCCATTAGTTTCAACCAGAACCCAGTTTTTTTTTTTGCAAACACGTCCTGTAAGATTTCCCCTGTTCTTCCTGCTACTATCACTTTCACTACTCTTGCCTCCAATTTCAACCAGAAGCACTCACTTTGATATTTGTTACCTATGTAATGTTAGTTATAACCAAAAGGGGCAAAAAAAAAAAACAAAAGAAGAAAAACAACAACAACAACTATCATTGTAGTGTAACGTTCTTCTAAGTTTTGGATTCTATCTATTGTTCAGTACTTTGTTTTTTGCTTTCGGGATTATTGTTGGAAAGAAGGTCAATGAAGAGATTCGGAGAAATCTAATAGAGGGGAAAGGACCAATTTGTCGTGTTCATGCAGGAAGCAGTTATCTCCCGATAGAGTGTCCTCCTCTTCATGCCAATAGCGAGAAGAAAAAATTTACTCGGGTAACAAAGGGCCATAACTAGTTGTTACAAAACAAAGCATTGCTATGTGAGTAATAATTCTCTAAAATTAAGTAGCAAATATACAAGAAATAAAGAGATTAAGTGAGGATATACTATAAGTGTTCCTAAATAAATAGCCTGAAACATAACTCTATCCTTACTCTACATGTTCTTCTCTCAGCTATCGAATTAAACACTAGTAAAAATATTTTTTGTTTCTCCTTTTCCCCTTCCATTCTTGCACTTTAATCTTTCTACAAAAGGGAAGCCTCAATTTCTAACTTACAGGTTACCACTCAATCTAGTGGGGTTGCAATGTCAATGAACTCAGTGTTTCTATCTTAATTTGTTGACTTAAAGATGAATAATGTATTCTACAGCATAATTGTGATTATGATTATTTATGACGATGATTCCTCAAAAACTTAGAAGTTGCTAGAATGATGAAGATTATATAGATTCCTTTTCTTTTTCTTTCTTTTTCTTTTAACAGGATAATTGAAGATCATATAGATTCCACCAAAAGAATTTTACATGCAGTTTGTGATGCTGTCTTTGCACATGTTACAGATTTTATAGGGGTATATGATACATATATATATATATATATATATGTGTGGTGTGTACTGCTGAGAGACCACTAACCTACTGGCCTTGAACAATGGAACTTGTGAATTTTTGCCTTCAACATAAAAGCCATCAGTGAATGTTTGCTCCTGTCAACTTTCTTTGTCCCAAAGTAAGAAGCAACTTGTAATCCTGCATATTTCGATACATTAGAAGTGCTGAAACAAGCACAACAGATAATTTCATTTCACCGTCCTATTGTATGGACTTATTGCCACCTTTACAAAACTCTCCTGGCATAGTGTATAGCAAGAGGTTTGGCATCTTAGACAACTAGTAATTGAACTTTATGCAGGAAAAAAGTGAAACTTAACCGGCTCAGTTATAGCAACATGGCAGAGCAAAATAATGCAAAAAGTACCTGTACAATAGACTGTGCACAAAGCTTCCCTGAGAGAACAGCACCTTCCATTGAAGCTAAATACTTTTGCTTTGTGTAACCACCTGCTAGATAGAACCCCTCTATCAGAGATCTTTGCAAGGGCAGCAGGGTTCACAATTTGGAACAGTTTTATATAAAGATCTGAAATGATAATTAGCTTTTAGTTTCAGTAGGAATCTAGTGACCAAGGTACAAATGTAAATTGATTTAAGGCCTGCAATCCATTTAATATAAGTGTACAGTTCCACATATAGATAAATGCATTCATGCATGCATGTGCAAACATATGTATGAAATGCTACTGAAATCCTGTTTAGAGATCGTATGAAAGTTTGTCCAAGATAGCATTAAAAGCTTCCATGAAAAATTTGAAATAAATATTTCTCACATGTTTCTAGCACAATTATACTCTTTGATGCATCACTATATGAATATAAGGGGAAGCCATCACCAGCCATGTATTTTTCAGCCATGGCATAACATTTCAAGAAATGGCTTGGATTTGATTTTAAAAAAAAGTACTAATAAAGATTCTGAAAGAATGCACTCAATCTAACCTTGGTGTTTTAACAATATGATACTTTATGACTTTTGCTTTGCTCTGATCTGCAGAAATTTCATCAGGAAAGGGCTTTGCAAGTTCCTTCATTGTGGCATCAATAATTTCTGAGTCACTCCGTGCAATCCATTCTTCTGCAGGGGCAAAAACTAACTCCAGCATGGATTGGTTTGGATTGTAATATTCCTGCATAAAACAATAAATCATTAAGTAGTGGTTGCATGCATGAATGAGGAGACAAAAAGCTAATTCAGTTAACCTCTTTTATATAACGAAAAAAATTATTAAAAGGGGGAGTAACAGTAATGTCTCTGCACCTATCATTTTATTCTTTTATAATTATTACTTTCTCAAACTTTCCTTTTTCTCAATTCTCATGGAAGGTTGAGTTAAAATTACACTTCTATATCCAAGCGTTCTTTGGATTTGACAGTTGCCAATAATTAATAGGTTCCCCTTCCAAGGCTAAGTCAATTTTTGTAAGTAATTTTCCCATGTTCATCAATACCAGTGACTTCAATAGGTTGCTTACCTTCTGCCTTAGATTGGGAAACAGGAGTTTGATGACTATTGGACACCTGATTACCGCCATTTGTTTCAGGCATTGCTTGGCTATCAATAGGCAGAGACCATAGACTGGAAGTAATAATATCCCTACACTCTGGTTTCCACATTCTTATAAGCAAATAACTTTCTTCCTCAAAATTTATTCTAGTTCCATTTCTACATGAATATCATGAATTTAGAAAGACGTTTAGCAAAAATTCATAAAGCTACGATGGGGCAGGCAGATAACAAGCATGAGAGCTGAATATAGCAAAGAGGGAGAAAATTAAAGGGCTGATAGATTAAGGAGGAAGACCTGCTGAAGAGTAGATGATCATAGGTGTTCCTCAATTTCCTATCAAACCTGCAAATGGAGATAATCTATATCACTCAACCATGGGCTCTCATATTAAATTTTGGTGGGAAAGGTATAAATATATACATATTGCAGTCTTGAAACGCAAAAAAGATCTGAGTATCATAGCACTATAGATAATAATGCATCTGTTTATAAGGGAATAGCACACATGTATCACTAAATTCATTTCATCAGTGAAGTGCAGTGAATTAATAAGAAATTAGGGACAAAAATGCTTGCTACAATAACTCTGAACAAAAATAATGCTGCATTCTGATGGGAGATCAGTGAACGGTGTTGGGGACAATGTAAAACCTAAAGGTTTTAACATTGGTCTAAACTTGTGATGCATGAATCCTTCATTTTTCTGGCTGCTCGTTGAAGTAGGAAACAGCTTCCAGCCATCTCCACTGAACAATTACCCCTTGCATGTGAATTTCGTCCATATTGGGCTTTGAGTTTAGCTCCACTCTGCTTATGAGCACTGAAAAGTACTCCACAATTTTGCCCTCTCATTGTGACTCTGCACAGCATTGGCCACAATATAACCTCAAATGAACTACCCTTTTCTGTATAACCTCAAATAAATCACCCTTTGTTTGTCCCCTTTTCAATGGGAAAATAAGAGAAAACCATGGGATATTCAACCAAAAGCCCAAAGCTTATTAATACAGCTTAAAGATGCTGACATGAAAATAATAAAATTGCACCACATAACAACAATTGGAAACACATGCATGCTCTTCTAAACTACTCTTAAAAGTCTATGCAACCTAGAGAGTCATAGCACATGGCCAACACTCCTGCTTTTTGCTTAGAGGGCATTTCAAATGAAGGACATAATGTAAATGATGAGCAATATCTTTTGTGAAGGGCTGAAAAACATATACCAGTCCTTCATTTCTCCAGCACTGTTCTGATGTGGGACTCTATACCCTAGGTGCTCTCAACTGGATTATAATATGCTGCATCAGCACTCAACCATTCAGCTCATGGTCAAGATCAATACCCACATATTATAGTTTCTTCCCCTAACACTTCTTTTAAGTTTCCATGTTAAATCAGTTGAAAAGATATCAATAGAAGTCAACAGGATGTACTTACTTCAAACAACATCTGTATGAAGTGCAAAGATTTAGAAAAGGTTTGGGGGAATGAGACAGACCAATAACAATACCAATGAATTGTTTGAATAAACAATAGAATTTGTTACTAACTGTGGAAAAACTAAGAAATTAAACTGTGTGAAAAACTAAGAGAAAAAACTGAATATATATTAAAAAACTGCTCATAAAGAATTATACAAGAACCTTAGGTTTATATACAACCAACCAGGGGTTAAACTAGGAAACTAAATCTTCTTAAAAAACTGATCCTATAATTGAAGGATTATCTATCCTAATTTTTTATCCTTAATTCTAGAGATACAA